AAGGAAAATGAAGAAGATCGTTCCGTAGACTACTCTTTTTTCCACTGTTTTTTTTTTTCTGAAATATACCTTCTGTTTGTACTTTATTCGTTTATTTTTAAAAGAGCTTTAATGTGATCTTACATTGAATTTCACTTTATATCACTGCGGGATTTCTGTCCTTAGGACAATTTCTAATGCGTTCACTCATCCGCTTGTCTTATGATCTTATTTTCAAATTCTGATGTGATTTGATGTGCCGCATGATGGGTTTCAGTTAAAGTCAGATTACGTTCACCCCCCCGAGTGGGATGTGTCCGAATGTGGCCGGTGTGGTCCTGGACACTCAATAAGGTCACCAATGACCTTACCTGTGAATTCTGATGTGATTTGAGGTGTCGCACGATGAGTGTTAAATCAAGTCATATTCTGGCCACTTCCCCGAAGGTACCCGAAACATGACCAGGTGTGGCCAATGTGGTCCTGGAAACTAAATGACGCTGCCAATGACTTTGTTTTTGAATTCTCATGTGATATGATGTGTCACATGATAGGTTTTAATTCGAGTCATATTCTGGGCACTTCCCCGGTGGATCTCGGATTATCTCCGGGTATAGCCACTTCCCTGGTGGAATCCGGGGTATGTCTGGGTTTGGCCAATGAATTTGAATGACTTTCATCAGATCAAATCAAATATTAAAGCCAGAGAAGGCATCCTCGTGTTGCTCTCTAGAAAGAAAATCGTTAGCTCAGAATGCTTCTCATTTTAATTTCTAACATCACGCATCATAAACACCAGCCGTACAGTATTTTAACTAAATGAAGAAAACACAAGCCACTATATTATCCACAATAAAAGCAATAAAATAAAGCAAATTGCATTGAAAACACTAACTTCGCTCATAGACTGCTTTCTCTCGCGCTTGTTTACGAGATGGATAGCAATGACGTCATCGCGCAAATGTCATTTTCCGGAATATCTCACCTCCTATAGTGTACACCGTGGGCATAGATAACGTAATCGTCTACATAGACGATATTCTTATTTTTGCGGAAATTTTGGAAGAATTGAGGAAAACCGTTAGTAAAGTGCTTCAAATTTTACGAGCAAATAATTTAACACTTAACACCGCTAAGTGTGAATACAACAAGAACAGGATAAAGTTTCTTGGTCACCAATTAGATGGCGACGGTTTCCACATTGACGAAGAAAAAATTAGAAGTGTGCGCAGCTTTCGTGAGCCAACTACTATATCCGAACTAAGAAGTTTTTTGGGCTTAGCGTCTTTCATCAGCCCATACGTCAGAAATTTTGCAGAAGTATCTCGTCCACTATGGGAAGCTACAACAAAAAAAGAAAAACAGGCGTTTGAACAGATTAAGCAGCGTATACGACATTGCACAATCGCACTTGGATTCTTCTCGGATAATGACAAAACCATCTTATACACAGACGCTTCTCCTAAAGCACTAGGCGCCGTACTAGTCCAGGAAAGTAAGGATCGCAACCCGAGAATAATAAGCTCTTATGGTTACCGAACGAAAATATGCTCAGAACCAACGGGAGGCACTTAGCGCAGTATGGGCAGTCGAGCACTTTTCGTATTTCCTCCTTGGAAGACAATTTACACTTCGAACCGACGCCCAGGGAGTAGCCTTTATTCTTAACAGGTCGCGGGAAGAATCGAAACGAGCTTTAACTCGTGCAGATGGCTGGGCTCTCAGGTTGAGCCCATATAGCTACGATGTAGAGTACGTACGCGGAAGAGACAACATAGCTGATCCATCATCCAGGCTTTATGATGGCGAAGACGAACCCTTCAATGATGACAATAGTCCATGGGAAATCGCGACACTTGAAGCAAATTCAGTACAAGTTCTTACAGAAGAAGAGATTGCAACTGCCACATTAAATGACGAAGCGCTTCAACTCGTCATGAGGGCTCTAGAAACAGGACAGTGGTCAAGCGTAGATGCCAAGTACAAAAACGTGAAGGACGATCTATCCATCCGCAACGGTATTATACTAAAAACAGGCTGTGCAGTAATTCCAACAGTACTACAGGAAAAAGCTCTTAGGGTAGCTCATGAAGGACATCCATCTGTTGCAAAGATGAAAAATATAATCAGGCAACGCGTTTGGTGGCCAGGATTAGCAGGCAGAATCCAAAAGTGGGTAGAATCGTGCGAAACTTGCGTTACAAATGGCAAACCTGAAAAACCAACCCCCATGCAGAGGATTTTTGCTCCAAAGGTGGTATGGGAGACCATAGCACTCGACTTTAACGGTCCTTATGTGATGTTCGGAGGTATCTCTATTCTTCTTATCGTTGACTACAGGTCAAGATTCCTTATTGCTCGACCTGTGAAGTCCACCAGCTTCGAATGCACTAGAAAAGTTCTTGAAGAAGTATTCGATAAAGAGGGATATCCAAAGAGCATCAAATCCGACAACGGGCCCCCGTTTAATGGCACGGACTACAAGGAATACTGTACTCAGCGAGGAATAACAACAATATTCTCTACACCACTATTCCCGCAACAAAATGGAATGGTGGAAAGTTATATGAAGGTTGTGAATAAAGCAATGACTGCAGCCGCAACCAATAAAACAAACTTTGTTGATGAACTTCGCGAAGCAGTAGTAACGCTGGAACACATAGCATAACTAGGCTACCACCCGAGGAAGTTATGCTGGGAAGAAAAAATAAACGTGGGTTGCCGTTGATTAACCATCAGCGAACACTTATTAACAATGAACTGCTTGATGACAGAGACTGGCAGGCAAAGCTAGAGGGAAAGCGTAGGGAAGACTCACGTCGCAGTGCACGGAAATGTCGCGTGAAGCCTGGAGATACCGTGATTGTACAACGCCAGAACCGTAGCAAAGGGCAGTCTCGATTTTCTTCCAAGCGACACACTGTTGTTGAAGAGAACAATGGAAGCCTTGTTCTTAATGATGCCGATGGTCACATTGTTAAGTGACACGTCTCGCAAACGAAAAAAGTATTCCATTGGATGCAACCTGCAGGCCAACGTACAACAGGAGACGGTGAAGCAACCAAGGTTACAGCTGAAGAATCCCTTTTGATTCGCCGGGGAGAACGCACTAGAAAAGCACCAGCATTTCTGCAGCAATACGTCCGGTCTGTTGAATAATATCCGCAACTTTTCCGTGTTCAATGCAATAAGCTGAAATAAACAAATGATTAATCTGCATTATATGATTTTATACCTTTTGCAACGCCTATCTTTGGAAGAAATCCATTTCGTGATCCCAAGCGATAAAATATCTGCACGACGTTTTGACGTTTTCTGTTTTTACGTTATCGCATGATGTGGGTTCGAGTGGGTTTGGATTGTTACACCTCCCCGATTTAACGACACCCTTTTTGTTGATACACTGAAAGCTTATCAGCATCATGGAAATCAATATGATAAGTTTATCATTTATTATGTTGTGTCTTAATAAAACATGTAAACTTGTATTAATGAGTTATTCATATATAGTGGCGCCAGTACTAAACCGAAGTGATTTAGTCGGACAAGCGACTTCTGACGTCTTTATAGCGGCATTAGTGACTTAGTGGAACCAGTGATACCAATTTGAAACGTCACTACGATTTTAGGTCGTACGGTCGTTCGCATAATAATAACAATTATTCTAGTAATTATTGTAATAAGGCAAGTAGGGATGTTCTATATATACACAAAAAAAACTGGGCTGAAATATTTTTCGAGAAAGGGGGAGATGTGTGGCATACACTATCGTTAGTGTTAGAAAATTGTTACACCTCCCCGATTTAACGACACCCTTTTTGTTGATACACTGAAAGCTTATCAGCATCATGGAAATCAATATGATAAGTTTATCATTTATTATGTTGTGTCTTAATAAAACATGTAAACTTGTATTAATGAGTTATTCATATATAGTGGCGCCAGTACTAAACCGAAGTGATTTAGTCGGACAAGCGACTTCTGACGTCTTTATAGCGGCATTAGTGACTTAGTGGAACCAGTGATACCAATTTGAAACGTCACTACGATTTTAGGTCGTACGGTCGTTCGCATAATAATAACAATTATTCTAGTAATTATTGTAATAAGGCAAGTAGGGATGTTCTATATATACACAAAAAAAACTGGGCTGAAATATTTTTCGAGAAAGGGGGAGATGTGTGGCATACACTATCGCTAGTGTTAGAAAGACTTAAACTTGTGCTTAATCTCGGTTGAAACCCTTCAACTGGGGGCACTGCTGCTGAACTCACACGAGTGTTGGTGACGGCGAGTTGAAGCCCTTGTGAACGGCTTTCACCTCAACTCATCCTCTTTTCGCTCCCGACCGCCTCACAGGTAAGACGTGCCAAAGCTTGTTGCATCAAGCGCGATACCGTGCTGGGGGATTGCTGCCATTTGCATATTCACAGGAAGGACGCTGTTTTTCTTGAATTCCTGAACGGTCGATGTCCGATGAAGCAGTAACTTTGTATTCCGGAGCAATGGAATCTTGCAATTCATGCGTAACTGCAAGGACATTGTTTTCTTGAAACTGAGAGCATCCAGGAGCATCGTTACTTCCTTCTTGTATCTAAATAAACAAAACAAAATTACTAAATATTGTGCAATTGTACATCCAATGGCTGCACTGACTTCTGCCTTGGTTTAATTGTCATGCTTGCCTCCACCAACCCGTGCTCTGAGCAATCATTCGGATCAATTTCAGGGACTGATTCACCTTCGCCGGGATCGACTAGTTCCAGATTCAGAGCGTGAAGAAACGTGTTGTCTGGTCTTGCGGGTGAAGATATTCCGTCTTCCGTAATGGGTAACGCAGCTTGCTTAGAACGATGAGGCTGCTCAGACAGACCATGCAGAAACATGCTATCTTTTTCACGTGCCGCAGAACTTTCATTCTTGATTTCTTTATGCATTTCAACGTTCGATGTAACCTGTATCGATGCAAGAAGGTCTTGCGATTCGAAAGCCGCATAGTTCGATCCTTCATCGACCGTAACGTAGGCATATCCAGTTGAGTCTAGGCTTTCTCCTTGTTGTTCAAGTGCCTGTTGAAGCTGTAAAACACAAACAAAATAGTTTTTAAAATATGAACAAAGGCAGTTTTTGACACCCTCCCTCTCTCTAAATTGATGTCATTACTTAATACACGCAGTCACTAAACCCCCTTTCTCCTTGGACGTCATATTTTAATCGTCCTGGAAAACACTGTTTCCAGATTCAGAGTACCTTCTCCATTACATTATTATTTTATTTACTTACCAACGCTCGCAAATCAGCAACATTTAGCTTATGTGCCGCCATTTTGTCCAAATTCCTGACATTCTGCCCGCGACATTCTAGAACGAAATCTAGAATTGAGATTTAGATGTGTCGCCCCCCTCGGAAAAAAACAGAGCTACTTACTTTTTCCACGCTTTGCGATCGGCTGACTTATCTGCTTCCTTTTCGGAGGCATTTCACACGAAATTTAAGATTTTTTTTTTCACTTAAACAATATGCCTCCTGCACGTTTGCATAAACTTTTCTTACTAACGTACCCGCAGAATCAAGTTGGTCGATGCTCACATAACTCACGAACACCAAAACTCAAAATGATTTGTCATAGTGTTCATCAAAAGTAGTACAATTAATTGAATATGTGTGAGTATTTTGCGGCTGTAAACATCATACGTCGTCGTTATGAGTGGTGACAACATTTGACAGAAGGTGTCGGAATGGTTGATTAAGGTATCTACACGCAATTTAAAAACTACCCAATTTTGAGTAGGATCCACTCATATCGGTCATAAATATAGCAACTCAAAAATGAATAAACTGAGTGTGGAATGACAAATTGACAACATCGAGTTGCTAATTTTTTAACTTGTCAATCCCAACTTTGTGTAACTCATTTTTGAGTAGCTTCAATTTTGACCGATATGGGTGGATCCTAATAAAATTTGAGTAGTTTTGAAATAGCGTGTATATACCGTAAGGAACTAATCCGACACCTTCTGTCAAATGTTGCCACCACTCATAACGACGACGTATAATGTTTACAACCGCGAAATACTCACACATCTTCATTTAAGCATACTACTTTTGATAAACACTATCACAAATCTTTTTTAGTTTTGGTGTTTGTGAGTTCTGTGAGCATTGACCAACTTGATTCTGCAGATGCAAAGAAAAGATTTTGCAAACGTGCAGGAGGCAGAGAAAAAGTGCAATAAATTATCCGGTGCATTGAATTTTCAGCAACTGGTGGATTTTACTTGTTACGCTGGTTGTTTTGTGAGTGTTGTTTGTGAAAACGGTGACAACATTGATTATCTAGTTGTGTAAAAAAATCAGTTCCAAAAACAATTCCAAAACATTTGAAAATGAGACAACCCCGCATGAGTTACATTTATCACGCTAATAAACAAAAACATCGTACTCGTATCATGAGAAAGGTAAGATTCGTGTTTTATTTTGCGTTATAAGCATGCTATTACCATTTTATTTTGTTACAGAAGCAACAACGACAACTAATACACGACAGAGGAAATGATAATCTTGAACTTTCTCAGGAAATATGCCCGAATGAACAAGTGCACAAAACAGTACAACATGAAATGCACAATGTAAGCAGTAATATCGACAGTGAGTTTTCACAAGTGCCAATGTGCATACGTAAACAATGGCTTCTTCTTCTATATAATCATCGTACTTGAGCGAGTTTTCATTCTCAAGAATTACACGGAGGAAGTAATTGTTTACGTTTGCACGTTGGCTCACTGTCAATATACTTATTGAAGTGAGAAGTTCTTGAAAAAAATGTTTTCTAATGTAGTTTATTTCATTTAAGATCGGTATTGTTTCCGCATACACCAATGAACATTTGATGGATGAGGATGATTCTGATGCTGAGAGTTCCAACGTATATGACTGCAAAATTTCTGATCAGCGCGGGGAAATTTCCGATCACGAAGTTTTGGATGAAATTTCACACGAAAAAGTCACGTCAGCAAATGAAAGTGATTTGGAATCTGAAAAGTCAGAGTCACCCGATGAGTCGCCCAAGAGCTGCTGCAACATGGTAATTAAAACACTGTATTTTTTTTATTCCACATAGAGAAAAGACCCTGAGAAAGAAAAATCGTAACCCAACGCTAACACAAATTATGAAACCATTCAACATAAAGTTGGGATTGGATTGACATATTTTCTTTTCTCATAGTTGCTTGCTATTTTTGCATAGGTACGTAAATTTGGTAATATAGTCCACTATCGTTTACATTTCAGAAATTCGAATGCGCTTCAGATCTACTCCATCCCTGCTTAAAATTATCCAAAACGGAGGTGATGTTCATAATAATGAATATATTTATCCGTCATAATCTGAGTAACGTGGCCCTCTGTGACATCCTGGGATTGATCAATTTGATCATTGGTTTTAAATCAATTCCAGAGACGTATCCAGAATTCAGCAGTTTTTTTTCGAAAAGTTCTTTCCACAGACACTACATATGTGAAAGATGTGAACTATACATTGGAGAGACCAAGGAAAACTGTAAAAACTGCAAGAGTACCAGCTTATTTTTTGTTTTCGTGACCTTCGATTTTATATCCAATCTACGAGACATTCTTACTCGAAATTGGAATGCCATTGTAGAATATCAATTAACATCACGATTATCAATGCATGTAACAGATGTACTGAATGCAGGGGTAGCACAAGCTAGAAACTTGACAAATTCTGTAACTCTTACATTTAATACGGACGGAGTAAAAATCTTCAACTCAAATATCAAAAAATCATTATGGCCGTTAATTGTTTGCATCAACGACTTACCACCAAATCTTCGTTTTCTAAGAAAAAACATCCTTATAGCTGGTATTTGGTTACATAATGGTGAGCCAAATCTTGACGTATTTTTGAAACCATTCAGTGATCTATTGAAGCAATTATATTGTAACGGGTTATGTTTAGGTTCAGTTCTATAGTTGCTAAAGTTCACATGATTGCATGTTGTGTGGATACAATAGCAAGATGTAAAATACAGCATTTCAAGCAATTTAACGGCTACGATGCGTGCAGCTTCTGTCTTCATCCTGGTGATGTGGTAAACAAACAAATACGATATGGCTACAAAAACAATATTTCAAAACGTAATTCGGTAGATACACTACGGGCCATGGTCGTGAGCAGCTTTCGTGGTGTTCCTGTGAACGGTGTAAAGGGCATTTCACCATTGATAAGAATGCCTGAATTTGATGTAATACGTAACTGTCCGGTAGACTATATGCATGCTATACTTCTTGGGGTATGCCGCCAATTATGTCGCAGTTGGTTTGAAAATCCAAACAGTCCTTCTTACATTAAACATCAAATTAGTTCTATTGACAATATATTATCATCAATAGATCCGTTCGTCGAGTCTTCACGTAATGCAAGAAAAATTAGTGACAGAAACACATGGAAGGCCAAAGAATGGTTACAATGGTTACTCCATTATAGTCCTGTCTGCTTACATAAATTATTGCCAACAGAATATTATGATCACTACTTGTTATTGGTATCATCAATTACTTCGTTGTTGCAGGAAGAAATATCAGAAGATTCATTACAGAATTGCGAAAATTTGCTAGATAAGTTTGTTAGACAGTTTGAACGGTTATATGGACTAGAGGAAATGACGTATAACGTGCATCTTGTTTCTCACTTAGTTGATTGCTCAAGAGATTACGGACCATTGTGGGCGTTTGCATTATTTGTATTTGAAGATATAAACGGCGTTCTTAAAAAAATCGTTAAAGGTCCTAAAGAACCGATTATTCAGATTGCAAACAGATGCGTCATGTCACACACTAGAAACAATGCTGATGTAAGTTTCATGAAACCAAATGTGAAAACTTTTTGGGATAAATTGAATAGGATGACACAATCACATCTTTCAGACATACATACTGAAATATTCTATTTAGATAAGATGATCATTAATGAATATAGTAATAATCGAAAGTTTCAAAAATTAAATTCACATGTTTACAACGGCTACACTTTTAAACCCAAATCTACTATGGAAGTATATTCAAAAAATAAAAAGGCAGCACAATGATTGTTATTTTTCTTTGTATGTAGATACGGAAGTTTTATACGGTGAAATTCAGAAATTACTGAATGATACATGTGGAACATACTTTTTGTTTAAACTTGTTGAAACGGAAGAGAATAACAAGCATTATTGTAAAGCACATTTTTTACAAAATTTGTGTCTTGTAAGAGTTAATGAATCCTTGAAAAAAACAAATTAAAATACAGATTGGCAATTTAAATTACCTTTGAAAAATGAAATATAAACTACATATAGATTAAGACAGGAAAAAAATAAATCTAACGTAATAAATGTTATCATATATCTTATATTACTTTCATTTCATGTATTTTAACTAAAAATTTTGCTGGATTAATGAGTGTAAATACATTTAATAAGAATTTACATCATTTATTACATATTCCTAAATAAGAATTTTGTTTTATTTTTTTCCCTTGTGATTTGTTTTCCGTCTATTTCTTTTCCGAACTAAGTATCAATGCTACCGACGCCAGGGAGGAAGCTCCCACACCTGGACTGCACCTATCGACCCATCAACTTATGAACCGGGGATCAACGGCTTTACTTCCCTTGATCAGAGATTTTCTGTCTCAGAAAATCTCGACGGCAAACTCGGTGAAAACTCACTGTCGATATTACTGCTTACATTGTGCATTTCATGTTGTACTGTTTTGTGCACTTGTTCATTCGGGCATATTTCCTGAGAAAGTTCAAGATTATCTCTGTCGTGTATTAGTTGTCGTTGTTGCTTCTGTAACAAAATAAAATGGTAATAGCATGCTTATAACGCAAAATAAAACACGAATCTTACCTTTCTCATGATACGAGTACGATGTTTTTGTTTATTAGCGTGATAAATGTAACTCATGCGGGGTTGTCTCATTTTCAAATGTTTTGGAATTGTTTTTGGAACTGATTTTTTTACACAACTAGATAATCAATGTTGTCACCGTTTTCACAAACAACACTCACAAAACAACCAGCGTAACAAGTAAAATCCACCAGTTGCTGAAAATTCAATGCACCGGATAATTTATTGCACTTTTTCTCTGCCTCCTGCACGTTTGCAAAATCTTTTCTTTGCATCTGCAGAATCAAGTTGGTCAATGCTCACAGAACTCACAAACACCAAAACTAAAAAAGATTTGTGATAGTGTTTATCAAAAGTAGTATGCTTAAATGAAGATGTGTGAGTATTTCGCGGTTGTAAACATTATACGTCGTCGTTATGAGTGGTGGCAACATTTGACAGAAGGTGTCGGATTAGTTCCTTACGGTATATACACGCTATTTCAAAACTACTCAAATTTTATTAGGATCCACCCATATCGGTCAAAATTGAAGCTACTCAAAAATGAGTTACACAAAGTTGGGATTGACAAGTTAAAAAATTAGCAACTCGATGTTGTCAATTTGTCATTCCACACTCAGTTTATTCATTTTTGAGTTGCTATATTTATGACCGATATGAGTGGATCCTACTCAAAATTGGGTAGTTTTTAAATTGCGTGTAGATACCTTAATCAACCATTCCGACACCTTCTGTCAAATGTTGTCACCACTCATAACGACGACGTATGATGTTTACAGCCGCAAAATACTCACACATATTCAATTAATTGTACTACTTTTGATGAACACTATGACAAATCATTTTGAGTTTTGGTGTTCGTGAGTTATGTGAGCATCGACCAACTTGATTCTGCGGGTACGTTAGTAAGAAAAGTTTATGCAAACGTGCAGGAGGCATATTGTTTAAGTGAAAAAAAAATCTTAAATTTCGTGTGAAATGCCTCCGAAAAGGAAGCAGATAAGTCAGCCGATCGCAAAGCGTGGAAAAAGTAAGTAGCTCTGTTTTTTTCCGAGGGGGGCGACACATCTAAATCTCAATTCTAGATTTCGTTCTAGAATGTCGCGGGCAGAATGTCAGGAATTTGGACAAAATGGCGGCACATAAGCTAAATGTTGCTGATTTGCGAGCGTTGGTAAGTAAATAAAATAATAATGTAATGGAGAAGGTACTCTGAATCTGGAAACAGTGTTTTCCAGGACGATTAAAATATGACGTCCAAGGAGAAAGGGGGTTTAGTGACTGCGTGTATTAAGTAATGACATCAATTTAGAGGGAGGGAGGGTGTCAAAAACTGCCTTTGTTCATATTTTAAAAACTATTTTGTTTGTGTTTTACAGCTTCAACAGGCACTTGAACAACAAGGAGAAAGCCTAGACTCAACTGGATATGCCTACGTTACGGTCGATGAAGGATCGAACTATGCGGCTTTCGAATCGCAAGACCCTCTTGCATCGATACAGGTTACATCGAACGTTGAAATGCATAAAGAAATCAAGAATGAAAGTTCTGCGGCACGTGAAAAAGATAGCATGTTTCTGCATGGTCTGTCTGAGCAGCCTCATCGTTCTAAGCAAGCTGCGTTACCCATTACGGAAGACGGAATATCTTCACCCGCAAGACCAGACAACACGTTTCTTCACGCTCTGAATCTGGAACTAGTCGATCCCGGCGAAGGTGAATCAGTCCCTAAAATTGATCCGAATGATTGCTCAGAGCACGGGTTGGTGGAGGCAAGCATGACAATTAAACCAAGGCAGAAGTCAGTGCAGCCAGTGGATGTACAATTGCACAATATTTAGTAATTTTGTTTTGTTTATTTAGATACAAGAAGGAAGTAACGATGCTCCTGGATGCTCTCAGTTTCAAGAAAACAATGTCCTTGCAGTTACGCATGAATTGCAAGATTCCATTGCTCCGGAATACAAAGTTACTGCTTCATCGGACATCGACCGTTCAGGAATTCAAGAAAAACAGCGTCCTTCCTGTGAATATGCAAATGGCAGCAATCCCCCAGCACGGTATCGCGCTTGATGCAACAAGCTTTGGCACGTCTTACCTGTGAGGCGGTCGGGAGCGAAAAGAGGATGAGTTGAGGTGAAAGCCGTTCACAAGGGCTTCAACTCGCCGTCACCAACACTCGTGTGAGTTCAGCAGCAGTGCCCCCAGTTGAAGGGTTTCAACCGAGATTAAGCACAAGTTTAAGTCTTTCTAACACTAGCGATAGTGTATGCCACACATCTCCCCCTTTCTCGAAAAATATTTCAGCCCAGTTTTTTTTGTGTATATATAGAACATCCCTACTTGCCTTATTACAATAATTACTAGAATAATTGTTATTATTATGCGAACGACCGTACGACCTAAAATCGTAGTGACGTTTCAAATTGGTATCACTGGTTCCACTAAGTCACTAATGCCGCTATAAAGACGTCAGAAGTCGCTTGTCCGACTAAATCACTTCGGTTTAGTACTGGCGCCACTATATATGAATAACTCATTAATACAAGTTTACATGTTTTATTAAGACACAACATAATAAATGATAAACTCATCATATTGATTTCCATGATGCTGATAAGCTTTCAGTGTATCAACAAAAAGGGTGTCGTTAAATCGGGGAGGTGTAACAATCCAAACCCACTCGAACCCACATCATGCGATAACGTAAAAACAGAAAACGTCAAAACGTCGTGCAGATATTTTATCGCTTGGGATCACGAAATGGATTTCTTCCAAAGATAGGCGTTGCAAAAGGTATAAAATCATATAATGCAGATTAATCATTTGTTTATTTCAGCTTATTGCATTGAACACGGAAAAGTTGCGGATATTATTCAACAGACCGGACGTATTGCTGCAGAAATGCTGGTGCTTTTCTAGTGCGTTCTCCCCGGCGAATCAAAAGGGATTCTTCAGCTGTAACCTTGGTTGCTTCACCGTCTCCTGTTGTACGTTGGCCTGCAGGTTGCATCCAATGGAATACTTTTTTCGTTTGCGAGACGTGTCACTTAACAATGTGACCATCGGCATCATTAAGAACAAGGCTTCCATTGTTCTCTTCAACAACAGTGTGTCGCTTGGAAGAAAATCGAGACTGCCCTTTGCTACGGTTCTGGCGTTGTACAATCACGGTATCTCCAGGCTTCACGCGACATTTCCGTGCACTGCGACGTGAGTCTTCCCTACGCTTTCCCTCTAGCTTTGCCTGCCAGTCTCTGTCATCAAGCAGTTCATTGTTAATAAGTGTTCGCTGATGGTTAATCAACGGCAACCCACGTTTAATTTTTCTTCCCAGCATAACTTCCTCGGGTGGTAGCCTAGTTATGCTATGTGTTCCAGCGTTATGTGCATGTACTGCTTCGCGAAGTTCATCAACAAAGTTTGTTTTATTGGTTGCGGCTGCAGTCATTGCTTTATTCACAACCTTCATATAACTTTCCACCATTCCATTTTGTTGCGGGAATAGTGGTGTAGAGAATATTGTTGCTATTCCTCGCTGAGTACAGTATTCCTTGTAGTCCGTGCCATTAAACGGGGGCCCGTTGTCGGATTTGATGCTCTTTGGATATCCCTCTTTATCGAATACTTCTTCAAGAACTTTTCTAGTGCATTCGAAGCTGGTGGACTTCACAGGTCGAGCAATAAGGAATCTTGACCTGTAGTCAACGATAAGAAGAATAGAGATACCTCCGAACATCACATAAGGACCGTTAAAGTCGAGTGCTATGGTCTCCCATACCACCTTTGGAGCAAAAATCCTCTGCATAGGGGTTGGTTTTTCAGGTTTGCCATTTGTAACGCAAGTTTCGCACGATTCTACCCACTTTTGGATTCTGCCTGCCAATCCTGGCCACCAAACGCGTTGCCTGATTATATTTTTCATCTTTGCAACAGATGGATGTCCTTCATGAGCTACCCTAAGAGCTTTTTCCTGTAGTACTGTTGGAATTACTGCACAGCCTGTTTTTAGTATAATACCGTTGCGGATGGATAGATCGTCCTTCACGTTTTTGTACTTGGCATCTACGCTTGACCACTGTCCTGTTTCTAGAGCCCTCATGACGAGTTGAAGCGCTTCGTCATTTAATGTGGCAGTTGCAATCTCTTCTTCTGTAAGAACTTGTACTGAATTTGCTTCAAGTGTCGCGATTTCCCATGGACTATTGTCATCATTGAAGGGTTCGTCTTCGCCATCATAAAGCCTGGATGATGGATCAGCTATGTTGTCTCTTCCGCGTACGTACTCTACATCGTAGCTATATGGGCTCAACCTGAGAGCCCAGCCATCTGCACGAGTTAAAGCTCGTTTCGATTCTTCCCGCGACCTGTTAAGAATAAAGGCTACTCCCTGGGCGTCGGTTCGAAGTGTAAATTGTCTTCGAAGGAGGAAATACGAAAAGTGCTCGACTGCCCATACTGCGCTAAGTGCCTCCCGTTGGTTCTGAGCATATTTTCGTTCGGTAACCATAAGAGCTTATTATTCTCGGGTTGCGATCCTTACTTTCCTGGACTAGTACGGCGCCTAGTGCTTTAGGAGAAGCGTCTGTGTATAAGATGGTTTTGTCATTATCCGAGAAGAATCCAAGTGCGATTGTGCAATGTCGTATACGCTGCTTAATCTGTTCAAACGCCTGTTTTTCTTTTTTTGTTGTAGCTTCCCATAGTGGACGAGATACTTCTGCAAAATTTCTGACGTATGGGCTGATGAAAGACGCTAAGCCCAAAAAACTTCTTAGTTCGGATATAGTAGTTGGCTCACGAAAGCTGCGCACACTTCTAATTTTTTCTTCGTCAATGTGGAAACCGTCGCCATCTAATTGGTGACCAAGAAACTTTATCCTGTTCTTGTCGTATTCACACTTAGCGGTGTTAAGTGTTAAATTATTTGCTCGTAAAATTTGAAGCACTTTACTAACGGTTTTCCTCAATTCTTCCAAGGTTTCCGCAAAAATAAGAATATCGTCTATGTAGACGATTACGTTATCTATGACAACGAATAAGCGAACCATTTCGCGCTGAAAAATTTCGGGTGCGCAATTTACGCCGAACATCAGCCGTGTGAAGCGATACATGCCGTTCTCCGTAAGAAAAGTTGTGAGTTCACGAGACTCCTCACTTAGTTCTAGATGGTAGAAGGCGTTGCTTAAATCCAACTTCGAAAAGTACTTCGATCCGTGAAGTTTAACCCGCATTTCGTCTACCAAAGGGAGTCGAAAGTACTCTCTGTTTATTGCTTTATTGGGCGAACGCATGTTGACTACGAGGCGAAAATCTGACTTGCCTTTCGCTACGGCTGACATGCCGCTTATCCAGCTAGGGGCGGACGTGACCTTTTCAATTATCCCGCGGTTTTCCATGGCATGCAACCTTTGTCGTGCTGCCTCTCTAAACGCAGCAGGTACGTTAAAGTATGCGTTTTTAGTGGGTGCTACCGAGCTGTTAACACTAAACTGAACTTTCACCCCAGGCATTTTTGGGAAGATGTCATCGTCAAGGGTCTCAAGAGTGTTGACACTCTTTCCCACATGTAGCAGTTTTAAATCGTTTACTGTGGAGCGACCCAATAGTGATCTAACCCCGTCATGGACAACGTGGAATACTGCTACCATTGAAGGTTTTGTTGTTCCTAGTACTTCAACTTTTGCTTTGAATGTGCATTTGATCGGCATTGCTTTTGCAGAAGCGTAAGCGTGCAAGCTTTTTTGAGATCGCCGAATGATTTCAAGTTTCGCTAAACCCGATTGCAATTCACGTTCTAGGTACAACCAATCCTTACCGCTGATAACATTAACATCAGCGCCTGAGTCTATAAGGAAGCGTATGGGACTGCCTGATCCGATGCTGCAGTCGATCAATGCATCATCCAAAGTCAGAGCATTGATACTCTAAAAAAAGGGAGTTAAAGGGATTTATGGTAGAATGTGTGATAAAACGGGATTACTTGTGTGTGACGCATGTAACTGCATTTTATTTCAGGAAAAAAAGAATTCAACTACTTTTGCTTTACCTGCTTCGAGTCACCATGAATGTCTTCACTAGAAGATTCTCCGTCCGAGTATCTTGCGTTTTGTTGTACCATCCTGAGCTGTCCTACTCGACAAGTAACAGCAAAATGTCCTCGCTGGCCACAAGTATTACACCTTCTGGATAGAGCAGGGCATTGCGGGTTCCGATGGAAAGCATTGTTACACCTTGGGCAGCGTGTGCGACGGCCTTGTAATTGTCGATTTGGACGATTATCTCTCATTTGCTGTCTGGAACTATTTCCTCGATCCAGTGCACTTGAATGCCGTTCTTGTATTTGCGTGAAATCAGGATTCATACGACGTAGCTTCGGAGGGGGTTGGCTGGACCATTGTCGATGATTAACTCTCTTCGAACCATGTTTATGGCTTTTATATACTTCAAAAATGTTGGGGTCAACCGGTTGTTCTGCTGTCTCCGCTTCGTATGCTTCATCGCGAGTGGATGACTGTACAATGAAGTTTGTTTCGTATCCATAGGTACGTGCCGCCTTTACCAACTCTTTGTTTCGCAAGCCATCTAGCAATTGCGCTCGTACAAATCGGTTCTGATCGCTGATGCTGTAGCCACAAAGTTTAACGTTTCTCACTAGACGAGCGTGAAAAGCAACGGTAGACTCACCTTTCTCTTGCTTCATCCGTAAGAAAGCTTGGTGTTCGGCGGCGGTATCCGTCATTGAGCGCAAGTGGGTTTCAATGTTCCGTACGAATGATGTATAACAGTTTGTGTCCTTTAGACTTGGTCGCAGATTAGCAGCCTTGACAATTGCTTGTAACTCCTGGCCAAGTGAAAGGTACAACAACTTTGACCTGTACACGGGATCGTTCGCATTATGCAAGGACACCGCAACTTCAAAGTTTTCGATGAACTCGTACCACTCGGCCCACATTTTATTGGGGCGGACGCCACTTTGGAAGGGCTTAATATGTTCGGGGCGCACGTTTGAGTATGAACATTGGGCATTAGGAGATTCACGGCTGAAATCCCAACTTTTTTTCAGTTTCGCGATTCATCGGCTGCGGGGTGCTGGACTCGAAGTGGCTGATAGCTTTCGTCAGATCGGCGAGGACCTTCTCAATCTGCTTCATGCGGTCACTGGTGCTATTATCCTCTCTCTCTTGCTCTGCAGTCCGGTTTGATTGGGGTTCCGGGTTCGTGCTACTAGTTTGCTGGTTTTTTTTTTGAGTGGGGCTGGGCAACTTGTCTTCGGTAAGAGAACGAACACTTCCTGTGCTGTAAGCACTGCTACGGTCATTAGTGCTTTCGTCGTTCTCACTGCCATTTTGGTTTTCACTATCACTGCTGCTTCCAGGGCGTTTGCTACAATCGCTATCGGTTTCTGAGCATTCACTATCATGGTCGCTGTTATTTTCGTCGATGCCACTGTGGGTTGCTTCCTGCTCGAGTTCTCCATCGCTTGAATGGGCTTCGTCATTTGCCAGAATATATTTGCCGTTGCTTGCCATTCTTTCCGCTTGTTTTGGAATAATGTGTTTAAATTTCGAATTTTCAGCCTGCAATTATTAATGAACTTTTATTAGTTAGATTGCATTAAAATAAAAGAATTGCTAAAAACACAAATGACTGGTAATGCTGCTTTGATGCATGGCAAGTTATAATGCATTTTTTTATTGCGTTGTTTTTGTATTTTGGCAAACTTCCGATGCATGCTAAATTATATTGTGCGGCTCAACAATTTGCATTGCTTAGAGGTACTCCTATATAGGTAACATAAGATGAATTGCTCAATTTGCTAAAGCAATTTGCGTGTATCAAACCTGTAAAGCGATCACCTCTGCTTGATTAGGCAAACATGCTAGTTAGAGCAAGCTGGCAAAAATGGGAAAACGGCGGCTGAAGCATTTTTTTTCAAAAGAAGCGTTTTGCTGCGATTGCAAAATGGCGTCGGTCAAGCAGAAAATAGTTTTGATGGACAAAAGGCGGTTGTCCTAATGCGCAATTTATGTGTTTGTACTTTGTTCCGGCAAACAGCCATTTTGTCTTTGTAGTCACGGTTTTCACTGTTTTATTAAACTTACTACCGCGTGGGGGATTCTGGTTGGGTTCTTTATTAAACACTGGCAGGATCGCCAATGTGAATATGCAAATGGCAGCAATCCCCCAGCACGGTATCGCGCTTGATGCAACAAGCTTTGGCACGTCTTACCTGTGAGGCGGTCGGGAGCGAAAAGAGGATGAGTTGAGGTGAAAGCCGTTCACAAGGGCTTCAACTCGCCGTCACCAACACTCGTGTGAGTTCAGCAGCAGTGCCCCCAGTTGAAGGGTTTCAACCGAGATTAAGCACTTTAAGTCTTTCTAACACTAGCGATAGTGTATGCCACACACTTCCAAGCTCGAGAAAACCACCTTCGTGCATACTGGAGAGTCCAACACTTCATGTGATGATCTTCCAATTCATCCTCGTGGATCGCAAATCGGTCTTGAAAACGCGACCGATAATGTCGTAATCGAGATCGTACAAGACTACGATTCACAAAATGTCATGGGTAACGAAAGTCAGATTTCATGGATTCTGCCGAAAGCTGGAAGCTCTAACGTTGATACAAAATATCTGCTGCTAGAAAAGAAGTACAAACAATTATCTGAGCAACACAAAAAATTGAAACAGAAGTACTCAAAACTTGAGCAGGACAAATTGTCATCGGATGACTATGCATTACGCATGGGAAAGGAGCTACAGCAACTTAAGGACAAGCAAAAGATGCCACAGGTATTTATTTTAAATTATTTGCAATTTTTAATTTAAAGCGTATTTTCAAAGTGTCATCTTTAAGTAATAAATGTTTTCTATTCTTCTTAGGCGAAATTTACTGAGGAGGAAGGTATTCTAATTACGGTTGCTAAATTGGCAGAACTAAACGAACGTGCTGAATCTGACAGCATGTTTGTTGGCCTGCTGAGCACACGTCTTATTGGAACAGAGAGGCTTGAGACGGTGAGTGTAATGGGCCAAGCAAGCCACCGGTTTGCCAAGTTGAAGAAGCCTGATGGTACTCCACAATACCCAGCGACAGAAAAGATCGGTTCTGGAATTCTAGAATTCATTTGCAGTTAGTATTTTATTTTTATTTTGATCCATTTCCAAATAAACTACCCTTTTTTTTGTAGATAAAGCTATAAAAGTTTGCCCTGAAAATGCAGCCACCATCCGAAAACGATCTGATATGCCAATTGTCAAGAAGTATATCGCCCAAAAAATTGGAAATTTATAGAAAGCTGCCGCATTTCGTAAGGCTCGCAACGGCATCGAACCGGAAGACGCAGGAAATATTCATGTGTAAGCAGCGATCTGCCTGTTGCTTGTACCAATTGCTACGCCAGTGCTTTGTTAATACTAAACTATGTTCAATTTATAACAGAGCATAGTCTATCTACGGTCTTCGATTTTCAATTGTTGTATTGTTTTAAAGTTCATACCAATAATTTGCTGGCAAAAGTTAATTTTTTAAAGTTTTATAAATATGATTAATCATAAAGAAATGTTCGATCTTTCAAAAGATGCATTTTCATGCACTAGTGCAATCTACAATGTCTCAACGATTGATGAAATTGATTTATTTTAACTCTCAGACCAAATCAAATATAAGTTCAATATAAAAAAACTGGATGTTTGAACGTTGTCGTTGCTTAAACGATTATTTTCTCTGAACTGAAATAAGAATAAATGTATGACTTATTGATTAGAAATGTTGTTTCATTATTTATATGAAAATATTCTTTTTGTAAGCTAGAAAGGCACAGCTGAGTATATGTGGTAAAAATTAACTTTAAACAAAAGCAGCATCAGTAATTGTATTCGAAAAAAAAAATAGCAGTTAGAGAATACATGATTTGAAAAATTTACTTCATGAACATATGCTGCTGTTGCAATTGAGTGAGTATTTACCACACGTACTCAGAGAAGATGTGTAAATGGCGTAGCATTTTGGTGACCAGCCATGTAGAAAAATACATTACAAGGGGGAGGAGGACCACAGTTGGTGCTTCATAGAACGTAAACAAATGTTAAACATTTGTTTACGTTTGATGAATCATCAACTTTGGATCCATTCACCCTAGTAGCGTATATTACTACATGACAGGTCACCCTTAAATGCTACGTCATTTAAGGCATCTTCCCTCACTAGCTCCACTGTATTATATTGATTTTCTCTAATATAATAGAACAATACCGGGTATAATAATGTAAATATAAGATAACAATACGGTATACTGTTTTTTAACATTATTAAACCATAAACTAACAATTACATGTATTATATTTATTTAGCATTAAATTTTATTGTAAAACTATTATATAATTATTCCGCATATCGTGAGTTGAGTATAAAAACGTATTATAACCTAACTGTTTGTGGTATAGTTAGAGGAAATTTTCGTTCTGAAAAATCGTCAATATGTTATGGTAACTTAACTTAACCACCATTCACCCAAATGGTTATTTGGTCCATCACCATCTACCAAATAGTTGAAACCATCAACGGTATAGTGAGCTTAAAGTTGTGGTGGACGATAAATGCAATTGTGCAGTCAAGGTGGCAAACGGTTGAGGATGATACCCGAGAACGTAATTGTAAAGTTTAGAATTATGCGGGTTGCATCCTCCATTTGTAAAAATGGGTATTTTTTCACCAATTTTACGGTAAACACAATTCAAGAAAATGGGTGAAAAAACACTCATTTATTGACAGACCACCCATTTACCCATTTATGAGTAAACCATAGTCCCTGGTGAATCCCTAATATTATCAGGGATTCACTCAACACGATTTGACCAAGTCTTATTCATTCTTGAAAGTCGTGAAAGTGCCATCCCGAGTGAGGAAGGTCTAAAATGAAACATTCCAAAGTTTTCGATTATAGTTTTCATAGTATTATTGTATTCCTATGAAACATGCTCCATTGTGTAGACTTGGCATTATAGATTTGAACAACAAAATGAACAGGAAATCAAATCGCAGCTTTTGTAAAGACAGCAATGATATTCAATTTTGAAATAATATTAATCTTCTTACAGGAGCGTCAGAATTGACGACATCCAGCTCTGTGTCCTGAGCACCATCTGTAGCTGCATATTTTGTTGTGAAAACAGAAGAAACACTGATGCTAGATTATTGTAATGTATCATTCCGCTGCCCTACTTCGACCCCCGACAAAAGTTTCGAAATCGAACAAATGGATTTAACGAACTCTGGTCCGTTGGATCTCTCAACATCCACGGCAAGCATACAATCGGAACATACATTACCGGAACCGTCCCACATGATTGAGCTGATCATTGAGCAACCTGTCGATTTAACAGTGTCTCGACGAGTGGAGAAAAACGTGCCGATTGATTTGGCAATGGTTCATGGAACTGCACGCACACACTTAGTTTATTTCACCGAGGCCGGTAAAATAAATTGCCGAGAATCCAACAGCCGAAATTTCGTTAAAAATTTCGGTAAAAGTATAGAATACCAAACGCTTGGTAATAATCATTTGTATTCAATTGTCAAATTTTACCGAAAACATCGGTACTTGTATGCCGAGCGTTCAGCTTTTATTTTACCGAAATACCTCAAAACAAGAATAAATCTTTTACCAATCCTTCGGCAAACCGTTCATGGACATATTTAACTTTTGCCGACTATCGTCGAAATTGCAACTCAAATTAATTGAATTATTCAGAATAGCAATAATAATAATACAAAATTAGTGAAAATTCTGTAAACAAGTCTATATTCAAGTTATTCGCACAATGACACATTCTTTCTCACTCTTCCACTCACCCATCAGTGTGCCCCGGGACTAGTTGTTTGCAGAAAAAGTAGCATAAGCCATCTCCTATCTCTATAAATTTGTAAATCCGAAAACAAATAAAGATTTATTACTTACAGAATAGTTGACGCAGTTGTTGGCTTACAGCTTCTCCTTCACCATCGATTTGCCTCCATTTTTATTTTCTCCATTTTACACTTCATTGAATCACACGCAACACTTAAAGCAACGCAACAGACGACTTACTCTCTGCCAAAATGGCTTACAATAAATGGGCACAACTGACAGATACTTCTTCTTATTTTCAATTGCCGAGATTCGTCACTTTTAATAAACCATTACCAAATTTCAGTAAATACTTTCATATAAAAAAAATCGTTAATTGTATATACTGATATTCAGTAAAAACATGTTTTCTAACGAGAAATAAGCAGAAATCGCGTTTTACCGATTAAGTTCAGCAATCTATTTTACCGACATAAAAATATAAGATTAAGTGTGCAGGTAGATCAGAAACTTGGTTTCATTGATGTTGGTGTTGCAATTTTCCATAGGGCATATAGCTATAGCAGACAGTAGTTCTTGACAGTAAAAACGATCAGCAACAGCAGCTCGCAGCACAGCTAGTGCGTTAGGTATATAAAGAGTAAATAAGCAGAATAGGTTTGAAGTACGAATCGCAAATGTACTTTGTTCCATGTAGGTAATAGAGTAGCTACAAACCCAACTGAGGTTACCTAAACTTATGTATTCTAGAAATACATTTTTGTATATCAGTAACAGGTATTTAATAAAGAGAAGGAGTTTATTCCTATCTGTTTACTTGTTTTGATATTTGAACAACCCAAAAGCCTGCATTTGAATTTTGATGGGGTTTTTCAGGAATCAAATGGTTTTGGCCCTCAGGAGGCAGAATTTCCCTCTGAGTATAAAGAAAAAGCCAGTTAATAAAATTAGTTTTCCTCAGGTGGTGATAATCTCACTGAGGTTCGCTTATCAATCCCTCAGGTGGAGAACATTTCCCACTGAGTTTAAAATCCACTAACTCAACAGGTTATGGGCCCAGATGTGCCTGAAATCTACAAATTGTCCAGATAGAGTTTTTTTTTTTCCATAGGACATTTGTAAGTTTCTTTTTGGTGGAACTTGATCCAGACGGAGCTTTCTGTTGGACAAATTCCAATTAGATAAAAATAATTTTGCTTGCCATTTACTGTAACAGGTGAAATGGAAAATAGGGTACGGCGAGTCGTTGTCCCTCTTTTCAAAGGAGACGAGAAATCGTTTCCGTTTTGGAAAAAGAGGATGGAACAACACCTCAAGCAAGAAGGTCTCTAGCATACCCTCGAGAGAACTCCGATCGAAGAAGATTATTCTCAACCAGGAGAAAATGAAACTGCTGAACAAGAAGCCACCCGCGAAGAGAAAATGGCCACTATGTTGAAAGAAGACGACACTGCAGTAAACGAATTTTGGCTAGCGCTGAATGACGATGCCAATTTGTAGGTGACGAGGCACTTGGTGACATTACAGCGAGCTTGACGATTGTTGCAGCATTTTTTTTAGCAAACTACCAGTTAAGGTGTTTACAAGATCATGTTTCTAGCACTAATGCTTTGCACTGTAACATGCAAGTACCCATTAATGGGTATAAAAGTACCCATTATTAGTAAGTATATGAAGCTGTCAAATAATGGGTAATTGATTATTTTTGAAAATGGGTTCTTTTGTACCCATCTTTTTGACCTCTTTGGGGAAGAAAAATGAGTATTATTTTACCCATTATTGGGTGAAAATTATCTTAATCAATAGTGAATATTTACTAACACAAAGCATATTACGAGGCCTTAAAAATTGATTTTTTATGCCATCTATGCCTAATAAAATGAGTAAATGTAAGTATTTATTTGAAATAAATCTAGGTGGTGTACATTATGAAATTCAGATAAAATTGAATGATTTTCATTTGCTTAATTTCAGATCCACAAGGAAGTGGCCGTGAAAAAAGTGTTCCAGGAAGGGATGACAAGAAGAAACGTCCGACAAAAGCAACACATTGCACAGCAGGGACAGTGGATGCCAAGTTATTATTATCGAAATAAATAAAAAACAAGCTATTAATGCTAATATTTCCGCCATTTCAATGAAATATGCGAAAAATCAAATTAAAATTAATTTCTAAATAGCTCAATTATCGAAAATGTATACTTTTTACCCATTTTCTAAATCTTTTCATTTTTGAAAATGGGTAAAAAGTACCCGATGATTTGACTTACAAGCTCTTTACCCATTATTGAGTAAAGACGTTTTACCCATTTTATGAGTTTACCTAGTTTACTTCGAAATGTGTACTTTTTCACCCATTAATGGGTACTTGCCAGTCA